CGGCAGAGTGTGCCATCAAATAAATGCCTTACCTTTCTCGTGGAGATGACAGGAGGATTAATTAGTTAATGTTCACCGGGATCCTGCAATATCTATGGCTGAAAGAACTCACAAAGTGCATTATTAATAATGGAATGAGGTCACACCCCATGAAAGCTCTGCAAAATGTTCCGTTCTCTATACAAAGCAGTTATTTTGCACTAGTGTCTATCTTTTATTGAAATATTTAACAAGTATAATGGAATATAATTTGTATTAACTTCCAAAAAAGAAAAAAGAAAGAGAGAAAGAAAGAAAACCAAACTACATACCAAAAAAATATGTGAGGGAAACAAATAACCCACACATCTTTTCACTTCTGTGTGCTCTAGAAGTAGATGTATTTTCCTCCTTTAAAAATCGTTGTATTTGTTCATATCTCTACTTCTTACTTTTGATTCATTATATCCTATATCCTTTCAGTTAACTGTTATAGCAAAGGAAACAAAAGCTAAATCTAAGAGACACTTAAGCCTTTGCAAATACGTAGAAGTGAAGTATAAGACAATGGTAAAATACTTGAAAAAATGCAATTCTTTTATCCTCAGACACAGGTGACACCAGAGTGAGAATAATAAAATCTTTCTGAAGAGTGAGTCTCTAAAGAAGCTGTATTCAGTAGAAGAAATGCAAGATAAACATCAGTGGACCTAGATAACAGGAACTCGGAGTTAATATAATGTTTCACATCTAAGACTCCTTTCACTTTTAATTCTAACTTTCTAAACTTTAACTTTATAGCTATGCCACTTACTTTCATACGCCTTTATTAACAATTTAGATAGTTCTAGCCTAGCAACATTCTTTTAAACCTCAAATATGTTACCTTATTTTTATTTAATACTTGCAGTTTTTATACCCCATTTCATGTAAATAATCATAATGTCATATAGTGCAGACATTGTTTTATCTTCCATTGTCTCAATTATGTTATAACATTGTAGTTTCATGAAGACTTATTTATTGATCCTTCATATATTCAATAGTATAAATAATATATAAACAGTGAGTTTAATGTAATAGTCATTACACTATTAACTTTAATCAATTGTCTTCTTTTACTTGTTCTAAATAGTTCATAATGTGGATACTATTATTTTTGAGATTTTTACAAATAAAATTTTAAATATTAAATAAGCTCACTAATTTTTTTAAGTCCATCGTAGGAGATGGGACATGAACTTAAATCACACTCTGGCTGATACCAGTTATGTTTATTTTTTAAAAAGCATTTTTTTCATTACATGGTACTTTGTGGATAATCCTAATACCTTGAATTGAATAAACATACACTCAGGTGGTGTTTTAGTGTTTGGCTAGTGAGTACAATATGCTGGACAGTACATATCTCAAAAAAAGTGTAAACTTTCTCTTTAAACATACAGAGATTCATTCATGTACCAAAGGCACTCATGATGATGTCTGTCTCTAAGGCAATTTGGTGCCTTTATTCCTAAGCACAAATGCTATGGGGACTAATTAGGCATTGCCTGCAATGTATAAAGTAATAATATAATTAACAATAGACTATCCATGAGCTTTTCTGCTATTATGAGATCATTTGAGCATAGCCATCTCTTGGTCCAAAAGCAGTAAATAACTTGCAGCCAAATAGCTATGACATTCAAGTTCCAGGCATTTTAATATATGGGGTAATTCAATGTACTGTAATAGCCTGAACTGTAGACTTACTTTCTTGATTGACTCTATTAATGGTGAATTGCTTAGTTAGTTAACAGGATAACTGCTGGGGAAAGGGAAGTAAAAATCATAATGGCACATGTTTGCAGAAAATGACTTTTTTAATCATGAAGATTTATAATTGAGCACATTCATTTATTAAACAAATACTGATTCACCATTATCTGAGTACTAGACACATTTTTGCTGCTATGGAGACTGAGATGAGAAGCAGAAGTTTTCTAGTCTTGTGGACCTTACATTCTTGTAAGCAAGACACAACATCTTTGTGTTTAATTTTGATACAGTCATTTCAGATAGTGTTAATTTCTATTAAAAAGGGTGAATAAAAAGTATACAGAATGGAAGAAGGAAGTGGTGAATGATTAATGGAGGTCTCTATTTAGATAATGTAAGTGAAAACCAGAATGTCAAGGTACATCTAATAAATATCTGAGACAAGATACTCTAAGTAGAGGCACTATTAAGCAAAATACACCAAAGTAGGAAAGAGATCAGTTTTAATGAGTAAGTCATATTGGGATCTAAAGATGAGATCCTCAGACAAAAACATGGGAGAGTTGGGAACCAAGCCCCATGGAATCTTAGAGAACCTGTGGAGTTGTAGGGAGATCTTGGAGCACAGAAGTGTCCTGGTCAGAGCTGTCTCAGAGAGCACACTGCCTGCAGTGAAGGAATCACTCTACTGGTATGCCAGCCTGCAGGGAGGGAATTTGATGAATACCTGTCTAAGGACATGACAAGTTTAGGGAAAGAGTTTAAGGATGGAGAAGATGAGAGATCGGGTTCAGTTATAACTATGATTTATAGCTTCCACAGTACAGTAGAAGACTGAAAATATTTTCATACATGAGGATAAGACAAATCTTATATTGAAGGACTGGGAGAGTAAACCAGACTTTAAAGACTGTCTTTCATTACTCTGTTTTCGTGATTTAAAAGACTAAGTTCTGTGGGAATTTCTAAGTCGAGAGAACACAAGGCTCTTATTCCTTTAAAACTCTTATATGAATGCTGTAAAACAATAAAACAAACAAAACAAACAAACAAACCCAAAGGAAAGTGCTTAGGTCTTGGATTATGGTGGCTCCCTTTTCTTGTTACCTACAACAGGCTGTTTAGCCTCTTTGAACCTCAGTCTCCTCTTTGAAAAGTGTGAGTGGAAAGCAAGAACTAGGGAGTATCTAACCCTCCTTGCAGCTATATTCTATAAGTGAGTGGTTATGTTTGATATGCTGTAAAATTTGATTTAAATGTAAGTAGGTAGTCTATCATCACCTATGCTTTCTGTTTAAAATGATCACCAAACAATTATTTTCACACAGATAATTATAGAAGCTGATATAGTTAGGTAGCTACAATTTCAGATGGAAGGCAAGAATACCTATCCTTGACTCTCCTTGGGTGGTGTCTAGTAAGTATGGAATCTTCATAGGGGAAATATTTCAATGACCTCTTTACCCAGTTTGTGAGTATGTGACTACAATTATTAAACCGGTTTTCTGCATGCTCATCTTTCCTCAAAAGAATTAATTATTTGGTTAGAAACACCTTTTGACACTAGATGTAACTGTCAAATGATACAGTTACTGAATAGTATCATTATGATCAATGTTTTTTCACTGAAAAATCATATGCAATTAACAATACAGAGATGAAGAATTCAAATACTGTAGGCGAAAGAAGACATATTTTGGACATGGCATATACTTTATACTCACGAACACACTAAGGCTGTGGTCATCTGAATGTGGGGCAGCCTACATTTCATAAAGGATGGAGAGGTGCTCATGATGTTTCATCCTCCCTGAGGTATCGTTCTCTTCAGGGGCGTAGCCACTGATAAGTTGCCCTTGCTCCTCCTAATATATTCCCACCAATGCTCTAGCAAGAAAGGCTAATTTAAAATTCAACAGGTCAGAGATAAGAATAAGGCCTGAAAGTAGGAGGCTTGATGGACAGAAGGGCTGCAGGGGGATGAACAGGAGATGAGAGGAGGGAATATGGGTAAAAATGACTAAAATTCACTGTTTATATGTATGGAATTGTCAAACAATGAAAAATTAGAATCTTTCACTATTTGGATACTTCACATCTTAAATAAACATATAGATAGATATTCACAATAATTGGTTGTAGCTTGGAGCCCAAGAAACCAATGCCTGACCCCATGTTTGCACATTACCATTTTGTCAATATAGAAACTAAGAGATAAGTGGGACAAACAAGAAGAGAAAGATGCAGCATGTAATGGAATGCTGATGCAGGGGTATTTGTTGTACTGAGTGGATGTTTAATGTTGAAAACCTTCTTAGGGAGCTGTGATCTCTGCATTTCAAGCAGTCTTTGTAGTTTGGAGGCTTACTCATCAGTACTAACCTGCTATTGACCTGAGTTAACTCCCATATTCTTGGTTTGCAAATAGAGGTTGGGGAATCTTTCATTGCCCCAGTCAGTAGAGCCTGTAGGAGAAAACAAGAAATAGATGTCAACAGAAGAGAGGCTAGAGAGTATGTGTTCTTCTATATCAATGGCAGTTGAGTGGATATATTAATGTATGGGTGGATTCTTAAGTGATATAAAACAAAGTAGGAAATTCAAGTTATTTGAAAACTTGGTTTTTGGTGGACAAAACCACTCAGAGGTGGCTTCTACAGCTATGACTTGAAGAAATATCTGAAGTGGTCTCTGGGGAGATCAGGCACTTTCCCCTACATATCCAGGACAGAAGTGGGAAGTGGGAAGTGGGAAAGTGCTTCATTAGCTACACATGTGAGTAGGACTTAGAGGACTTAGTCAGCAGGAAAAGTTATAAGAGCTAACTATGTCATGTGGCTGCCAGACAAAACAGCACATAAGGAAACAGGCTTATATCAAGTAGTACTGACAAGAACAATCAACTTAAACCAGTGAAGATGTGGATACTATGTGCTTGTCTACCCTGTGCTAGTCATGTTACCAATAGAGCAAAGAATGTTTTTAAAGGTAGCCTTTGTAATCAAAGCACAGTCATAGATAAAGGAATTAGTAAAATTTTATTTGTAGAACAATGGAAATGTAATATTCATCAATGTCACTTGACTTTCAAGTCAAACTTACTTCTTTTCATGGTAATATGGGAAGAAAAAACATAACGACAGAAAAAAGCTACTATACCCAATGGGAAATCAAGGGATGGTTTTAGATTTTTGTTATTTTGTTGAGGCAATCTTATCTTTTCATGAACATTTTCCCTTCCTTCATTCGTCAGCGGTACTTGGTTATGGCCTGCAGTGCTGGACTAATTGAAGGTATGAGCATACATCTTGGATGTGCTACCTGTTAGAATCCAACTCAGGAATCTTTCCAAGCCTGTGGGAGCCTGTTTTCAGGTTCCTTGTGCCTTTACCCAGCAGGTCCTCATAGAGAGGATGATTAGGACCATGGGCCTGAGTGCAGGTGTCTGAGATGGTCTGCACTTGGCTGTGCTGGGGGGAGGTCTTTTGCTCCAACCCCTTGGCATTTCTATAAATGCCTTAGGGCAGAGACAGTCAGGGCCCAAAGGGATAGGTTCCAGGCCCTCTTGGGGCTGTCCTTTATTTTCTATCTGCTTACCTCCACAATCTAAATCCTTCTGTCTAATATTTCCTGCTGTTGGCACTCAAGAAAACTCTGGGGAACTGAGGGGTTCGTGGGTTAACACCTCGCACAAGCACAAGCCATAGCCTCATGAGGACATGTATCATATTTTCTCTCATCTGTATACAAGTAATAAGGAGCGGGGTCAATTCCTTCCCTTTTATAGCCTTCTAGAATTTCTTCACTGTCCCAAGAGCTTATAAAGCTGCCCACAATCCCACCAACATTGGGCAACAACATGTCAACAGACTGAGTTAATTTGAGGATCCTCAGGACATCCCTGGGTATAGAACTTGATTTCCACAGGAAATTGACATAGCAGGATTGGTTCATTAATGGTGTCTATCATCAATCTCTCAGGAGCTTCAGGAATATCCTCTCCAGATTCATAGAGCATCCCATCTTCTTTCTTTACATCATGCTCCCTCAGCCACCTGATGGCATCTGAATAGTTCATCTATCTGAAAAACTGTTTAGGGTTTTAAAGTTCAAGCTGAGGCACTATGCTTGCCATTGGTGACTTCCAGACTCTGTCCACCATTTCACACACTAGGTCCTCTAAATGGTTCAGGAAGTCCTCAGTGGTCAACAAGGGACACTTGACTTCCACATGAGTGAATTCAACCACGTGCCTTCATGTTCTGGACTGTTTTACCCTGTATGACTTGGAAACACGAAAATATACCCCAGGGCTAGAAGGTAGGTCTCCAGGTATAACTGTGTGGACTGGGTCAAAAACGCTTCTTCTCCAAAATAGTCAAGCTTGAAGAGTATGGCCCCACCTTCTACCTATGTCTGCACCAGTGTTAGAGTAGTAACTTCACTGTACCCCTGTCGAAGAAGTGATTCCTAAGGCACCTGGTGATCATGGACTGTGCTTTCAAGATTTTGGACATGTTCACTCCTTGGATAATCATGTGCCAGTTGCTGAGCTGGACATCTACCTCAGATTCATTTATCAGGTTATGTAGTTAGTATATATTTCACATACTGCCTCACTACTCTCAGTAGACAAAGACTACTCCATTGTAACACTGACACAAGTCGGCTGACAAGACACACTGAAGATAGCCTACACCATCATGCAATACCAGAAACATCAAATTCTGTCTTTGCCTACAAAATCTGTGGACCCAGCCAGACACCTTCACTCTTTGGCCTCTATATCCTCCTAATGCACAAATATTTAAAGATGCTGGGTCTGGCAGGCTCAGGTCATTTTTTATGATAATTTTCTTTGCTTCTTCCTGGTTCTTTTCTCTTTGTAAGGAATATTCTGCCTCTTTCTTCTCCCAAGAATAATTGTTCAACTGTTCTCTGTGCCTTATCTTTTTAATGTTCTTCATTTGTGACTTGGAAATGACAGCCCACCTCTCATCTTCCTTTTGTGAATCCACATAAATGGTGGGAAACAGCTCTTTTCCAACTGTCATCAAAGCCTTTAAGCCTGTTTTAAATGGTTTCTCCTTGGTTCCACCTCCTGTTGTATCATTTCCTTTTCAATCAGAGACATACATCTCTGTTAGTCTCATCTCTGCAGTTGCCCTGATCACCTCTGAGGACACTGATTTGCACCACTGTCACCTGGTCATCTCAACATGCAAAGAACACTTCCTTCAAATATCCTGATTTTTTGATCTCTTCAATAGAATAGTGTTGATACTCTCAGGGTTAAAGTAAGAATTACAAATTTTGATAAATGGTTGCTTATGACTCTCCAGGAGTAGTAAACATATTAGTTTGAGAGGTATGAGTATATATAAAGAAGAAGAGAAGGACTTCTTAATTTCAAAAAGTGAGCTTTACCATGATGCACATGGCAGGTATTCTTGGATACAAAAGCAATTTGAGGTTCTATGGAGAAAAGCCTGTGTTCTCCAGAGCCAACACTAATTCAGTCGCAAAATTGCTATATTTTAAAATGGGACCCATGTGACTGGAAAGGCTCAAATTGTAATGAGCCTCTGAGGCATCTTATAAAATTCTCATTAGAAAGCAGCATGGCCACAAGGCAGCAAGGATACTAAATCTAAGAACAAATAACTTGAATGACATACTAAACATTTAAATCCTGTACAGTTTGCTAAAAAGCATGAATTCAGTTGGTCAGATGCCAAGCTAAATGTAAGAGAAAGGAATACAATATTACCATAGTGAAAACATTATTAGGAATTAAGCAAATGAATAAACATGTCCCCCCTCTGGTGAAACTTTGTACCAATTATTGATAAATTTTGCAAACATGTGGTATTTTAACAAAGCTTAGCTTTATGTGATGTATAATTGTATGAAGCTCTCGGGTGTTTTGCTCCGAAAATTGAATGGTGCTCTGTCCTTGTTTTTAATGAGAGGCAAGTAAATAATGGAAAACATCAATTTGGTATGCGGATTGTGTTAATGAATGAGCGGAACCAACTGCCAGCTCTTCTCTGTGGGACAGGTGACACCATGTGTAGCAAGCTGTCCTTCCATTCTGATGAGAGATTAGGCTGTACAACAGTGCCCATGAAATTCAGACACTCGTAGAAGTCATGTTTGCAAATGACTTTTTGAGGAAATTTGGCAACTTTAAAAATACTGCCATTAAAATAAACATATAACCAAGTTTTTTACTAGTTGATTGTGTTAGTCTGATACAATTGAAGAATTAATTTATATATTTATCAACCCAGACTATTGGTCTTTCTTATAAAACTACTTATCCATCCATCCATCCATTGACATGGATATTTTTAGCATGACCATTTATTTGTCTTAGTTATAGTTTCCATTGCTGTGAAGAGACTCCATGACCATTGCAACACTTAAAAAGAAAAAAAAAAACATATAATTTGGGTGGCTTACATTTTCGGAGATTTCGTCCATTAACATCATGGTGTAACATGGTGGTGTACAGGCAGACATGGTGCTAGAGAAGGAGCTGAGAGTCCTACATCTTGATAGGCAGGCAACAGGAAGTGGTCTATGTCACTGGGGGTAGCTTGAGCATAGGAGACCCCGAAGCCCACCCCCACAGTAACACACTTCCTCCAACAACTTCTAATAGTGTCGCTCTCTATGAGGTTATGGGACCAATTACATTCAAACTACCACACCTTTCTTATATCTGAATAGTGTAACTTAGTGTAGTAAACATATAACCTTTGGAAAATTGTTAATTCTACCTAAGTCAGCACTTTCTAAAGTATACAATAGTACTAATGATATTTATTTACCCCTGTAGAGTTACTATGGTGACTTAGGAAGGTAAAGAATTTTAAATGCTTAATATTGTGTTTGAAATGTATTAGTCATTCATTTAGCGTTAGATATAATGGTTATTTCAATATAATTATGTACCTGTTAACATTGAAATTCAAAACTGTGTCCAATATTCTGCTGATATGCTTCCTTCATTAACTACTATAGATACTATAGATACCAGAGGAAGCAATCTCATTATTAATAATTTTTATCTCTATGGAAATGAGCAGCTCTCTATGGTTCCTGTATGTATCTGTAACTTGCCAACTCTTCCTTCGGCTAGAATGTGTTTTTTTGAGAACTTTTAGGCTTACTTTCTGAACAAAGTTCAGAATCTAAGATACCCCACCTTAGACACAACAATCAGGACCAAGCAGAACATAGGTTGTATCTAAACTGCTTTGGCACATTTCATTCCAAATAAACATCAGTCTGAAGATACTACCTGCTCCTTCTCACACAGACTGCCCTGAAAATAACCATGCTTTCCCAAGAGACTTGAATAACAGACAATTCTCTGGACCAGCCCTCACTATAAACATGTTCATGAAACATGCTTACAGTTTGGATCAGTTTTCATTTTCTTCACTTGAAAACTCCTCCTCTGCACTCATCCTTTCTTGTGTGACAGACAGACACATGCCATAGCTGGCCCTGTTCTCTAAGATAAATTCTGCAAAGTAAGTTGGACCTAACAACAGACAACTAAGAAATGCTGAGAGTAGGAGAAATAGCCTTCCTTAGGGAAGAACACACCAATTGGTTGTCTAGTACTTAATGGTCATCATTGAAAACATACATATGATTAACATTATACAGATTAAAGTGGTTATATTTAGGAATATATGTATGTACATATGCGTATATGCATGTAATAACAATTTTTTAAAATGTCATGAGTTTGAACAAGAGAAGGAGAGGTTTATGGGAAGATTTGGAGGGAGGAAAAGGAATGGAGACATGATGACAATATACTATGATCTCAAACATAAATTAAAAAATGAAATGTTGCTAGTGTAAACTTAACTAGATCACAAAGGACTCAGAAGTTGAAACTCTACAGTGAAATTCAGGATGAATTGAATTTTTTTTTTTAACCACAGATAAATGTAAGATGATGTCACCAAGCAGGAGGAGTCCTGAACTTTAAACATCCATTATGCAACGAAGCCTAATTTGTCCTGTGTGTAAACTATGTACATCAATGGTGGTAAAACCCTGGAAAAGTACAATGAAATAAAAAGCTTTGCCACTGGAATCTTCATAGAGTGCTATGTTTATAAAACATTTTAAAGAATAGAATCGGATAAAATTGTGGGAAATATGGCAAATAAGTCTACATAAACAAGTCACTCACTCATTAGTATTTTTTACTAACATTAATCAAAGATAAATCTATGAGGAGATAGAATAATGGACATAGCACCAGCAATAAAGACTAAAGGTATTGGTGCTAGGGATATGACTCAACAGTTAAGAGTGTTTGTTGTTCTTCCAGATGACCTGAGTTCTGTTTCCATCACTCATGATGGACAGCTCACAATTGCCTGTAACTCCAGATGCAGGGGGTCCAATGTTTTCTCTTGGAACTTCTACACATGTGGTATATAATCATGTAGATACACACACAAGTCATAAAAGTTATTTACTGAATTACAGCAAGAAGTTTTGTGTTGACATATTTTGAATGTATGTATCAAGTTAGCAAGAAAACCCCAAATACAGGAGGAAGGAAAGGGAAAAGGGAAAGAAAAACGATGAGAGAAGAGGGGAAGATAGGAGAGAAAATCAACAGCAGAAAACTTTCAGTTATTCTGGATCCTAACCTTGGAGTTTGATGTGGATAAGAAAATGAGGTAAGATATACATACATACACATGTATAATATAACACTATACATATTATATATATATAACATATAATCATATATAATCATCCACTCAGTGTATTTATATACTCTTTATTATGTCCCTAGAAGTCTAATAAACACTAGAGTAAAACAGTGAGAAAGGCAATGATCCCTTATTTATGGAATTGTATTTTAAATGATGAAGACAGATTGTGTAGAAATAAGCTGACTTTATTTCAGATGACAATAATTGCTACGAAAAGAAGAATGCAGTCATGTGACTGGGGCAGCATGGGAAATGTTCTCTGAGAGCTGCAGTTGAAGCTGCATATACAAGCAAGGGCTGGCTCTGCAGCAGGGCAGCAGGTGCAAGGATCTGAGGCTGAGGTTGCTAGTGCTTTACAGATAAATGGAGAGACAGCGAGCTAAGTGCAGTAAGCAAGCAGAAACAGGTCATTCAGAGCTTCACGAGAGAGTGGCTTTTATTTAAGTTAAATGGGGATAATTGGAAGGTTTTGGTTTTCCCATTTTCTCATCTTATTTTCAATTGTTCATGTAACGTTTATTTTTAATGACTACATATTAGTCCAAATGTGGGCCTCATTGAGTTCCAAATAACCTTAATGGTATAGGCCATTTCCTTTTTTCATAATGATATAAAGGTAGTAATTAATAAAAGAATATAGAAAAATAACTCAATACTTGGGTAATTTTGAAAATATCTTATAAATCCATTAACTGCCTTCTTTTTCATAATTGTCTCTGAGCCATACATTCAGGAACTGTGATGTAGATATAGCCACTGATGTTTTTTTAATTCTTACAGTCCATTAATCTCTGCTTGTGTCCAGTTGTGGTTATTTGTGATGTCCATTTACTATAAAGAAGCTTCTTTCATGAGTGGCATCAGCTACACTTCTCTGTGGGTGTAAGGATAAGATTAAGAAGGTAGTAAGGAATTATCCTTGTCTAACAAAGTATCAATTGTTTCTAACTGTCTATGGCTTCTCTAGGCCCAGGGCACTGACTACATTCTAGTACCAAGCATGATTTCCCTCCTTTTAGGTAGGCTTTAAGTCTTAGTACACAACTCCTTCATATACTTTGCTTTCCAAAGAGAAGGATTTGTGGTTTACTTGGACTTTGCACCACCCTACAAATTGACTCTGTGTCACCCAATCTTTTGAATCTACACTACTCTATATACCTATGCTGCACTACCCTAGATATTAACTCTGCATTATCACACATATTGACACTGTAACATCTTATATTTTGACTCTGCACCAACCTATATTTTCAGCATATACCACCCTATACCATCCAAAGTGCATTTTGCACATATTGACTATGTACCATCAAACATATTGACTCTGTTCCACACTACACGTCGAGTGTAGAAGAGGCAACCTATGTGTATTTCCAGTATATTAATCTACAGGAAATGGAAAGTAGTGATTGAACATG